CCGGTTGATTCCGGATCTCCCCTCCTTCCGCCGCGCCCTCAAGACATGGTTGTTTCAGCAGGCAGGACTGGCCTAGGGATATTTTAAACTGGTTTTTAATTAATTTTAAAATATGAATAGGCCTATTGTATATATCTTTTAATTGATTTTAAATTTTGTAGATTTGTATTGATTGTTCTGTTTTTAATTGGCTGTAAGCTGCCCTGAGTCCATTGGGAGAAGGGCGGGATATAAATGCAATAAAACTTCAAACTTCAAACTTCAAAACTTCAAACTTTCCCTGCCCGGGAGCGCCGCGCATGCGTGGTTCTGCCCCCTGCGCTGGCCGAGGCGTAGCTGGCAAGTGGCAGAGACGGAGCAGGCCAACCACCAGCTGGCCCAGCTCAAGGCAGGTAAGGCACCCACCGGAAAAGGGGAAAAAAATAGCGGACAGCCTTGCTTGGCGACCCCCGTGAAATGGTCGATCGACCCCAAATGGGGTCACGACCCATAGGTTGAGAACCACTGTGTTAAAGAGATATAATTTAGGCCTCTAGAAAGCTCAAATTCCTTCATTGTCTATGTGTATTTCTCCCTTTTGCATATTGTTGCTTCTTATTGTACATTGTATTGTATATTGTTATGCACATTGGGGTGTCTTTATATGAATAGCAAATGTTGCAAGCAATTTCTACTTTTTTTTCATAGAATTCGTGTCATTTCTATCATAGATGCTATTCCTGAGGTCTTAACTTTTGTAACAACTCTCGACATTTAAGTCTTACTATCAGAGCAGAAGTGTGGTATTCTAAAAACTGACAATTTGGAAACCAGATTGATACTATGTACTTTTTGCAACCTGTGAATGTATCAAATAATACAACCACTTCTTATGCTAGAGAAAGGATTTTTGAAACTAAAATACTATCTCGTTAATAAGGTTTATTTCAATGTTTATGTTCCCTATTTTACAGACAGGCAGATTCTAATTAAATGCTCAGAAATGATGGCAAGAGGAATTTGACAGGGACAGGTGGTGGATATGCTGAAAGCCATCTGTCAGGAATGGCTTTAATTTCAATTCCTGAGCGGGAACTGAAACTGAGCAGAAAATTGATTTGATAATTTAAAAGGCCCTTCCAGTTCTCCACTTCTGGTGTAGATAACAATATTCCTGGTAAATTTTCTTTGTAAAAGCACAGATAAGTGAATCTAGACTTTCAGCAACTAGACTCTTGCAGAATTATCATGGCTGGAAAATGAGAAAATTGGGATGCCTAGACATGCTTGCCTGGGAAAAATAGAACTCCGGAGTTACCCCAGTTAGTCTCTTATGTTATGCTTTTTGTTTTTATGGTAAAGTGATAATCTGGTTTCCTCTTGCCTTAGTGCAACTGATAGGCATGTTTGCCTCCATCCTGAACCGCGAATTATCTACCAACTTTGTTTTTCTCCTCCACTTCAGTGAGTTGCCTGCCTTTAAAAGATATTGAAATGCTGTATGTATATTTCTGCAATGTAGTGTTTGCTTTATATCTTGAGGGGTAAATCTTTTTCACTTATTTTAATATTTCATTTTAAATAATTTTTGCAAAACTGCTCTGGAAGAAGATGAATGGGTGGGTATTAGTACAGCCATTAGTCAATTAAGGCTATGCATAATTTCTTTCTATTCCACACTTTTCTGAGTTTAACCTTTGAAAAGAATCAGTCTATATGACACAAATGACTATACTTGCAGCTCATTATATTCTTAGTATTGGTTTTTATTAGCGTCGCCTTACATGATCTGTGTATATATTCAAGGAGCCCTGTATTTTTAATGAATTCATTCCACTGTATTCAAATGTTTACAAACTAACATCACTTTAAACTTTTCAATGAAAAGAATTACCATTGCAGAATTTCTGTTCATAAGGAATACCATCTTTTGAGTCAACACCCTGAGAGAGAAGGAAAAAATAGTGCATCTGAAAGAATATCCAAACTGCATACTACATTTTCACTGAGATAGTGTTTTAGGAATTGTTTTAGCAACAAGATAAAAAAAAAAATTGAAATCTAAAAAAAGATTACAACAGGAGCACAAATTTAATCCAATTAATGATTGTTTTATTCTCTCTCTCTCTCTCTCTCTCTCTCTCTCTCTCTCTCTCTCTCTCTCTCTCTCTCTCTCTCTCTCTCTCTCTGTGTGTGTGTGTGTGTGTGTGTGTGAGAGAGAGAGAGAGAGAGAGACAGACAGAGAGAATGAGAGAGACAGAGACAGAGACAGACAGACAGATGTGTCTACCTTATCATTCTTTATATAAGCTGGCACAAATGAATCTGCATATGTAATTTTTGCCCAGATACTCCTTTCCCAGATTTATTTTGACTTGGGGTCAGTTCCTTTTGTGAATTTGGCAAAAAAGCTGAATGAGAACTTATATCTAATTTGTGTGCAAGACTACAAATACAGTACTGTATAGGAATCTGTATGTACTTTTCTCAGCATTATGAGAAACATTGTAATGCTTTTTTCCATTACATTTTCATTTTTTAATAAAATGTCAGCAAAATACTTAAAATTCTGAAAAAATTTATGTTTCAGCATATGAGTACATTCTAATTTGTGTGTAGATTTTGAAAGTGCTGATTTGCTACATTTATAGAACAATATTTGTTATATTAATAGCTCTATAGCAATAACTATCTACAAGTCCTAGTAGACAATGACTTAATATGAGCAGTAGTGTGTTGCAGCTGCTAAAAAAGCCAATGCAGTCCTAGGCTGCATTAACAGAGGGATAGAATCAAGATTATATGAAGTGAAAATACTGCTTTATAATGCCTTGGTAAAACACTTGGGATACTGCATCTAGTTTTATTTGCCACAATATAAGAAAGATGTTGAGATTCTGAAAGAGTGCAGAGAAGAGCATCAAAGATGATAAGGGAATGGAAGCTAAAATATATGAAGAACAATTGCCAGAATTGTCTAGACAAAGACTAGGGGTGACTTGATAGTAGTCTTCCAATATCTAAGAGCTGCTACAAAGAAGAGGGGATCAATCTGTTCTCCAAAACACCTGAAGGCAGGACAAGAAGCAATGGGTAGAAACTTATCAAGGAAAGATCTGACCTAGAAATAAGGAGACATTTCCTGCCAATTAGAACAATTAATCAGTGGAATGACTTGCCTTCAGATGTTGTGGGTGTTCCATCATTGGAAAATTTTAAGAAGAAATTGGACAACCATTTATCTGAAATGGTATACGGTGTCCTGCTCAAGCAGAGGGTTGGACTAGAAGACTTCCAAAGTCTTATCCAATTCTCTGTGATTCTGTTAATTTGTAAAAAAACAAAACAAACCAATCCTCTTTACTCTGCTTAACTCAAAAGCTTAAGACTAATTAACCAAAATCAAAGTTGCTAGAAAGACCACAAGAAGCAGGTCTGGGTCCCATAAGAATAAGAGGACACCACTATTCCCTAGTACAGAATCAGATGTTGCCTTGGTAAATGGAAGCATTCACTGAGTTTGTTCAATGAAATTCTCACATTATGGGCAGCTGCTGCTGAACACTAGAATAAAATAAAGGGTATTATCAAGCTATTGTATCACTCATATAAGTAAATAGTGGTACGTGTCTTGGAATAGATTTCACACAACTAGTTCTGTGGCAAGACAAAGCCGTAATAATATGCTTTTTAAATTAAAAATTAGGGAAGCTCACAGTAACTCAGAAGAAAGAAAGAACATTTTCAACTCACAAATATGCCATTACAGTTGGAATCCTCCTTTGCATCCCAGGCTTCAGGGCTAAAATGAAAAACAATTAAAATATAATTGCAAAACTTCATTAAAAAAAACAAAACTAAAATAAATATATTTGTTTTTCAGAAGAGATAGTTGAAGAATTCCAGAGTTTCAAGTCAGGTACTCCTCTTCTGAAGAACAGGAGACATATGAAATATAAGATGGATGCATATATTCAGTTCACTAAATTACACTAATATAATCCACTTAGTAGGATGTGAGGGTTGATTTTAAATCTCATGAATCCAGTAATTTTTACAGGTATATCTCTGGAGTGTATGTAGAGAAAGGTGTCATGGTTTCGACAGATGAAACCCTTCAAAAGAACTTCTTTTATTCGGGAAACAAAGTATCGGACTACATAGTTAAAGCCAAAAACTAAATTCCCCTCCCCTGGATACAAAGTAACAAAGTACAATTCCCACCTCCAATAAACAGTCATACATCACATTCCCCAATTAGTTTGAAGCGCAGGCTTCCTCCCCAGCTTTCCAGCCCACCAAAACACCATCAGCTCTGGGCCCAATGTCCTTGGGTTCCCATGGCCAAGTATTTATTGTTATGACTAGCTGGACTCTCATCCCTATTCCCCCTCCCAGCATCAACTAATTCTAAAAGCATAGAGAAAATGGCTGCATTTTCATCTGTTGTCAAAGCAAGAACATCCTATGTTAGAAGTGTTGACATCCGGCCCCCTTACAAAAAGGAAAAATCCTGTAATGCAAACAAAATCATAGGTTAGGGGTTGCCTCTTGGTTTGTTAGGATGTTTCTTATTAATGAGTCTGTCAGCTTTTACATCATTAGATTTCACCTAGGTGGCTTCAGATGGCTTCAGACAACGGATAACCCTTCCATTGCACTAGATCTAGAACCAAGAATACGCTTCACTTCATAGTGAATCTGTCCTGCTATTACGAGAGGTCCAGGTGCCTTCTTAGGGGGAGGTCTTAAAGTGGAATCCTGAAAAGGTTTCAGCAGGCTACAATGGAACACAGGTTAGACTTTTTCTAAGAGTCTGGGAAGCTTTAATTCTACCGTGACTGGATTAATGATCCTTACAATGGGGAAGGGTCCTAAGTACTTCAGCCCTAACTTCTTACTAGATAACTTAAGCCATAAATATTTTGTGGACAAATAAACCTTTTCCCCCACTTGGAATGTCCTTTGAGGAGCTCTTTTTTTATCTGCCTGCTTTTTATGTCTCAGAAGCTTTTTTCAAAGCAGTTTTCATGGCTTTCCAGACTTCTTTCCACCCCCTCACCCACTGATCAAGAGTTTGGGAAGCGGGACTTCCGGTTCCGGATCACAGCGCAGGCGGTCGTGTGGAGAGACTTGTCTCTTTGCTGGCTGGTTTCCCTCTGCCGGGAGATCTCAATGGTAGTCGCCCCTCCAGGGCGACTTTTCGACCCTATGGTCGAAAAGTCGCCCTGGAGGGGCGACTACCATTGAGGAGGCCCTTGTCTGACTGCAGAAGGGCAGCAGCTCCTTCCGCGGTCTGAGCCAGCTCCTTAGGGCCGACGGAGAAAAGATCGGCCAGTAAAATGGCTGATCACTTAGCCGCACCAGCTGAAAGTGAGAAGAACAGCTAAGCATAAAGAACCACAGTGGAGGATCTGGGTGAGACCTTTCCTTCCCTCTATTTGCCCTAACTATTTTCCTGTAAAAAGCTTTTGAACTACTTCCCTGCTTTAAGAAAGCGGCGTCTATTTACTTGGGAAAAAGAGCTCTGGAAACAAAATAAAATAAAATAGCTAATTTTTACTGACTATTTAATTTTTTGGATACCTAGGGGTATCCAAAGAATTCTTATCATAACATTATTATTATTATTTTACTTATTATATTGGAGATATCTGCTTTTTTTTCTCTAATTTCCTAATGAGATAAAATTTTATTAACTTGGAAAAAAAGATCTTACAGTCTACTGAAGACATCTTGTGGTGAAAATTGCTATTGCAACTCTTGGTGTTTGAAGATGGATTTGACCTTCAAATGATAATAAAAGAGAAAAGATAAAGGACTTGAAACAGCTGGTGGTGAGTTTGTTTACTAAATTGTGGAGGTGGATATTTGTTGACTTTTAGTAAATATAGCCTCCACTAAAAGATTAAAAAACTATTTCACCACTGAAATGGAGGGATTTTACCCACAGCTTGATTATGAGCTTATATTGGAAAAAAAATTGGAAGCTACAGAGTACATGAAATCTTGGAGAAAAATTAAATATGTCATTTCAGAACCACAAACTGAATCTCAAATCTTAATGGATCAATCTATAGACCAAGGAACAATAGAGGAGGAACAGATTAGCTCCAAAGAGGCCTGTATGCAACAATATACACAACTTAAAGAGATGGAGGAACCATACCCACAACTCAACTATAAACGTGTACTGAGAAAAACAGTGGAACCTACTGAAAAAATCTTGCCCCAAAACCTCAAACTGCCCCAAAACCTCAAACTGACTTTCAGACTCTAATTGATTACGCCATAAGTCAAGAAACAACAGAAAAGGAATCAATTAACATAGAAGAGGATATTACACAATCCCATACACAATTTATGGAGAACTTTGACGATCAAAGAAGGGTTTTAACTGAGATACCTGCAGTGTCAAAAACAACAGGAATTGACAGCCAGACACAAATTACTGAAAACAGTGATAATGTGGATAATCAACTAGCAACTACAGCATGGAATAAAATTGATTACACCATTCAGATGATACTGGAAGAAGGGGAAGAGAACTTTGACCAGACTGAAGTGTCGATAAATACCCCTATTCAAATATTGAGATTCGATGAGACAGAAGCTTTATTATGGAAACCGGTTTGGCACAGAAAGAAAGCCAGAATTAGATTTAAAAATGTGACTTAAAATTTTACTTAATGGGTTAAAATGGTTTTAGAGATCTTGACTGATTTAATAATTAACAGAGTATGTGAATTTAGTAAGAAGATATGTTTTGTAATAATATGCCTGTCTTAGATATGATAATTACTTGAAGGGGATTTAAATTTTACCTAATGGGTTAAAAAGATTTTTATAGACATAGATTGATTGATAGAATTTATATTTAAAATAGAGTAGAAATGTATTCTGGACTAATATTTTTATTTTAGGTAGGATAACTATTTTATAATGGAAGAAGAATAAGAGGGATCTGTGACAAGAGAAGAAATGGTATTAATAAATGACTTATTAGAGTAAGAAATAGAATATATGTGGAAATTATAAGAATGCTACTGTTGGAATAATATATACATTTTAGATATAATTATTATGTTAGGAAAAAAGGGAAATGAGGGATACCCGAAGTGTTAATAATATGTCTATTCAAGGCTAAATTGGAATATGGTAAGAGTAAATTAGTAAAGCTCAAAAACAGGATTTGATTGATTGAATTCTATTTAGAAATGTATTAATTTGAATATGTTATATTACATGAGGGAAATAGAGAGGGAACTTTTAATGAATGAACCTGAGTTATATGTATGATTTTGTTTTTGGATGATTGATTTCCCCACCACCACGTTGTTTCTTAAGCACTTTGATGTACAAATTAAAAAACCAATAAAACTTGTTTTTAAAAAAAAGAGTTTGGGGGGGGGGGTCCCTGAGGATATTCGGATATTGGGCTGAACTCTTTTCCTGTGGCCACTTTGAAAGATGTGAAACTGGTGTTGCTGTGAACAGAGTTATTGTAAGCCTCTACAAAAGGAAGGAGGTCAGTCCAGTTCATCTGTTGATAATCCACATAGCATCGGAGATACTGCTCCACCATTGAGTTCACAGATTCAGCTGCCTCTTTGGTAGACGGGTGAAAAGCCAACAATAGTCCTTGAGATGAGCCAATTAGTTTAAGAAAATTTCTCCAAAACTTGGCTGTAAACTGCACCCCTGGTCTGAGATTACTCGTTTTGGTGCCCCATGCAGCCTGTAGATGTATTTCAGAAACATCTTGGTTAGTTCCTGAGTGGATGGGAGCCCTTTGCAGGCAATGAAGTCCAGATGATTGTATTTCCCCTACTTTCTGGTAGGTCTACTATAAAATCCATGGCAATTTCTTCCCATGGTTGGGAAGGGTCTGCCACCAGTTGTAATAGCCCAGGGGGTTTCCCCGGAATTCTTTTCAGGGTGGCACATACAGCACAACTCTGGACATAGTTCTCTATGTCCCGTTTCAAACCCGGCCACCAAAATTGCCAGTGGATGATTTTTGTAGTGTAGTGTTTTTAAGTATCCAAAGTGTCCAGCCTGTTTTACATCATGGCTGTGCCGGAGCGCATTGAGGTAGAGGGTTATGGGCAAGTACAACTTCCCCCCTTTGTAAGCCAAACCATCCCTGCATGTTAGAGAGGTTTGATTGTCCTTGAACCATTGGTCGGTGAGGAGCTCTTGTTTTATTTTCTTTGCCCCAGGATCATCGGCATGAGTTGAGAAGCAGTTTGTGGAGTGGAAATAATTGCTTCATTAACTTCTTCATGCTGGCTCTTGTATTGGGGCAGTCTGGATAAAGCATCAGCTAAAACGTTTTTTCCTCCCAGTATGTACTTTAGGGTGAAGTTAAAATGATTGAAGTATTGCGCCCATCGTACTTGTTTTGGGGATAATTTGCAGGAGGTTTTCAGTGCTTCTAGGTTTTTGTGATCAGTCCATACCTCGAAAGGCACCTTGCTCCCCTTTAGATAGTGTTGCCAGTTTAATAGAGCCCAATGAATCACAAAGGCTTCCTTTTCCCACAGCCCACCTCCTCTTGCACTCAGTGAATTTTTTTGAGGTGTAGGCATAGGGTTGTAGGATCCCATTCTGCTTCTTTTGCAATAGCACAGCTCCGATGGCTACGTCGCTGGCATCGGCTTGAATCACAAAGGACTTCCCTGACAAGGATGCTTTAAAATCATTTCGACCACAAATTGCTTTTTTAAATTCTCAAAAGTGGTTTGACAGTTCATAGACCATGCTAGTGGCTGGTCCGGTCACAGCTTTCCTCCTTCTTTG